GCTCTCCGCGGGAGCGTCGTAGACCCCCTAAGTTCGCAATCAAGAAAGATAGAACTTAGCCGGAAGACAGCTGATGTCTACGAATGCTTGTATAGGTCATAGCATATGGGAAGAGAGTTATTTAGTTAGCTTTCCTAAGGGTCTCGACAGTTAGCCACTGACGAGACACCGATGCGCAGAGGTTTTCACTCCGCCAGGTGTATTGGTAAACACCTCGCAGGAACTGATGTGCATATGGGAGATTTCTACTAGAGTGCGCTGACACCTATAGCCCTTCGGGGACACGGTAATGGTGCCGGGGCAACCTTTACGGAGAAGGGCATACTCACGTTGGTCGGGGTAACCTGATGGGGGAGTTTTTGGTATAAGTCTGACTACTTAAAGATTATACGAGAACTCTCCTACCCCGACACAATCAACATCCTCTCGAGAGACTTTAATTGAGATAAGCCTGAGCTTAACGATATTAAGTTTTACCGTTTTACTTTTATTTTTCATACTTTTGCAAGAGCTGTGTTTGAGAGATTCGAAGTTTGGTGCAGTCGCATCCTTAGGAACCATCTACCTAAGGGAGCCCCCGTTACAGCGGTAAAGTGTATCCCTTCGAAAACCCTGTCCTAGAGATTTTAGCTGTTGACCCCAAACTCCGTGATATGTGGAACAACCTTGCAAAACAGACACCATTCAATTTGAAGAAAATTGAAAGAGAATATGCAACTTCTAAGGCACGGGCCATGGCCGGGTTATCGGCTGCTGAGAATAAATCATTCGGAGTACATCAGGAGCACCGGATCACCTATGGACTTCTGTCTAGCATCCTCACCCACCTGCGTAAAGAGAGAATTCAACTCCCAGATTCCTTCCATCATGGTACCCATACGAATATGTTCTCCGATAGCATCATCTTGATTCCCAGTCCTGAAATGGCTTTGTACTTTCTCAGTAACCTTAACAAATTTTGCTTCGGATTCGAATATACTTTGTGCAATAGTAGGAAGCGTGGCATTGACTGGGAGAACACACGGGTAATGATTATGTTTCTGCGCCTGATAAGAATAGTCGTCAAGGGTACAAACCTGTCACAATTTCCCGCCTTCATACAGCCCTTTCCCACCCATGCCGCTAGTGATCTCTCCAAAGCTGGTCTGGGCCTTGGCGACACTTTAACCGCGCGTGGATATGCTTTCCTTCCGGCCAATGTAATAGACTGGAAAGTTCTGCGCTTCAATTCGGATACCGTTAATGGCGAACATTTTTCTATCCCATGGGTCCAGCGGTTGTATAAGTCCCGGTGGAGTGTAATACATCATACTACACGCTTATACGACCAAGTAAACCAGGTGTTAGAAAACCTTGCACGACATCCCGCAAATATCCGCCTGCGGATTACCAGCTGCCAGGTTTTAAGTTGCGCTCTCATTGAATCGTTTCGGCAAGACGTTTGGGATAACTTAGAAAAGGACCAAATAGTAGTTTTATCCCCGGAGAATTCTTTGAGCCAGTGGATTCCTCCTCTTTGTTGAACAACCCTGCGTCAGGTCTACAACCAGGATCTCACTGGATTCAAGTTTGTACAGGATTACAATCGCCATAGGTTCCACCCGTTTGATCGCGTTACATATTTGTGGGACTATGATGCAATACGGAACCGAACAGGATGGGAGGCAAAGCCATGGCGACGCATGTTTCACAATGTGTGTGAAAAACTTGCAGCACTATATCCGGACCACCTAGTGTCACAACACTTCCGTGAGAATCACTTTCTTCGTTTTCTGCGACATAATTTAATTTTTCCACAACCGGTGAATGGAACCTTTCATTCCTATTGTCGACAAAATGAAGGTACATGGCAGCGATCCTGGTACTGCGCACACAACATAGATAAGGCATATCGATGGGAGACCAATGCATGGCAGACAGGATCACCGAAGTCTGGATGCCACAATCCAGAGGTTCCACCACAACTCAAGTTTGGACTCCAGGATATCTCGGAATTACTGGACTGTGTAGAGGAAGGTGGTGTCTTGCATGAGAAGTTGGATTCAATAGGCCGTTAATAATTTTTGTTTTTATACCGGTAAGGAACTTTGACTGTGCATCCGGCGTAACAGAAGCATGGTACTAAGTAGAGTTGAATAGATTACGAAAACTCCTCATTTACCCACCTGAATAGTCTGCATCCACTACGGCGGCCGATATGCACCTGGACCATAGATTACCCCCATTTACGGTACGAATTACGGTACGAATTATTTTTCGCAGACTATTGAAGTCACACGGGTATGGAAAGGCTGTTGTAAGGGTTTACTGTGGGGATAAGAGATAGTAACAAAGGAGGAGACAAATTCAGTGGAGCTACGGGAAAACATGAGGACTGGGTCAGTAAGATTTGACTGTCCTTGCGGTTAAAGTTTCTGGTGTGCTAGCTTGTATGTGGGTCAAATGTTCCAATTGTCGGGAGTGTGAAGTTCAGTTTTTATATTTACACAATGTGCCTATATCTTTGCTGTGCATATGCAAGTTAATTTAACGGTTAAGTATTTAATATATGACATTGTAGGTAGGGCACTATACGGTAAGTTGTATGTCTATCCAGTCCTAAAGGACTCGTAGTTGTTATGTATTCAGGTAGGCCTTAATTCCCCAACACCCTACTATGCCTCACCTGAAGTGACGAGACCCAGATTGTTGCTGACCTAGCTATGCATACAATTTTTACCACAGGTGTGACTCTGTCAGATTCTCGTCCCTGTACCAAATCCACTCTTTTTTCCTATCCCCAGGCCAGACCTTCCAATTTAATCCTGTACATGTCTATTTAGTGTTAGTTATGGGGCGGGTTGGGGTGGGCTTCGTATTAGGGGGCCCCGCCATTACATGTGCCTAGGGGGGACATTTCCACGGTAGTTCCCGCCGCGCTCCCATCAGGGGCCCACCCCGCTCATTCTCTGGACAGGGCCCTGTTTCCCACCTGCTAAAGTAGACGGGGGGCCGTCAGGGGCATGGGCGGGGCGGGGCCCTGAGCCGGTGACGGGGTGGGGAAAGCCTGAAAAAAATACCCCACCCCGGGCTGGTGAGCGGGCCGTGGTGGGGAACAGGGCCCGGGGCCTCGCTTTTTCGGGCCCCCGGAGGCCCCGTAACAAACCCTAAGTCTATTGTCTTATTCTAAATTCTATTTCTCTTCCAGCAGTTTTGATTTTATATTTACATACCAACCCTAACTGCCTACTCTGGGATATAAGCCCTAACTCATTTGTCTAAACTTATAAACAAAACTATTAGTCTAAAATTACATACATAAAACAGGATAGTAGGCTCTATGTTTACATACATCGCTGACTTACACACTTCATACTCGCACATCATGTTCACATAAGTCATATTTTCATTACTCATATATATATTAATTACATATCTATCAATGACATATATCTAAATTATATATATCTAGATTACATGTACTGCAATCATCTGGGTACTACTATTCGTCATTTCAGATACAAATTGTTTTGAAAAGACAGACCTGTATATACAAATATTATAATATAACTTGTTATCAGGAGTATTACTAGATGTAACGACATATATGTATCTACTTTTCTACTATGTTTTACACTTTGATAGCCTATATCACCTATAGTTAGTCAGTACAGCCAGAGCTAACTGAGTAGATAGAATGTATTCATGAACATAATGAATCCATATGCTAAAGTACTTATACCATTCTACTAGTAATTCAAGTATCAAAAGACATATTGCACCTCTTCTCTTATCACCCCAACTGCAATGTGGCCTACACTTGCCATGACTATTAATATGCGTAACCACTAGCATCTTGATATGGCAGACTGTAA